GAATGTACCTTTTGCTCCTTTCTGGGCGAAGTTCAGTTTGTCTCTGTCTGGATCAGGAAAGCCACTGGCCCTTCCATACTTTGAACCCTTCTAAATCTTGTTCATATTTAGGAAAGGGGATTGATTCACCCCATGAATTATGAACCTCCTGCTTCTGCTTCTGTTGCTGCTGATGTCCCAGCCGGTCTCTGGGAAGTTTAGAAGGAAATGCCTGCTGAGTTTGGAGCCCCAGGATGGAAACAATCCATGGAACTATTACAGGCCAGGAGACCATCTCATTAATATAATCATGAGTTTAACAAAAATATTGCATACAACATCGCCCTTCAACATGGCTCCTTCTCTTCACTTTGACTTGTAAGTCATTCAGGGTGATGGAGTTGCTTTCCCTCCATTTGCAGTTCTAACACTCTCCTTCTTTTCTTCTTATTCCACTTACTCCTCTATTGCAGGACCTGTTTAATTTCCTGAATCGTTTGGATTTCCATTCCCTTTTATCTTATTTTATAGAAGTAACTGAAATATAAAGATGGGACAGAATAAAAACACTAACAACTACAGATTATTTTCCTCTCCCCATCCAAACTTGGGTTCATCACTTGAATATTAACCTTTGTTGAAAGTAGTGATTGAAGTACTTCTAGTTGCCCTTTCTCAGTCTGGTTCCGTATTTTTATAATCAGTCATTGATATAGAAATCCTGATCCTTATAGCAACAAATGACTTTTTTTTAGAATTGCTAAATTTTTGTCAGTTATCAAACATCCTCTTCCCTTTATGATGGTTCTACTTTAATGTTTGAATTGTTTTGAATCCTGTTTAGTCAGCAGATAAAAATAAGTACTTCTTATTTTCTTATAGTACTTATCTTCTTATAGTACTTATAAGTACTATTTGTGATTTTTAACCCTGGTGGAGGACTAACTCCATCCCTTCTCAACATTCGTTAAAGTTACACAGTAATGGGTGGCTATAATTTGCCTCTGGTTTTGGATCAGCATTGGCTTAAGAGTCGGTCAGTTTGTGGAGACAAAAGAGATTAAATAGGGGGGAAAAGTATTTTGTTTTTTTTCCTGTTCATGATGCTGATAATAACAGGAACATTTATTTACAGTAAAATCTCTCTCCAGACTTTTTTAATGCTACTCTATATTTTTGCCTTTGAACTGATCAACAAAAATCCATATCTCCTGCACAATTTCACATTGGGCTACAACATCCATGACAACTATTTGAGCACACTTGGCACTTCAGATGCCTTGCTGGCCATTCTCTCCACTGGAGAAGCCAATGTCCCCAACTATGGCTGTGGAAGGAAGGACAACCTTCTGGCTCTTCTAGATGCAGCTGACAGGGACATCTCCATCCAGATATCAAGATTAGGAGGCACCTACAAAGTCCCTCAGGTTTGTGTGTATGTGCTTTTTTACCTGGCAGACTGAGTGGGATGGTGATGGGTGAGTGATAGATCCAACCATTTCTTCTCTATGGAACTTGAGCTGCTTTTCACCAGGGCCATTGTAGGTGTTATGGCTGAGGATTGGAATTGACAGTAGGGCAGGGAAGGATCAAAAGAGACATATGCATCATGGTACCATCCGCATTGCTTTGAGGGCTTCTACTGCACTTCTACTTGTGAAGCGGTAAGAGAAGAGCGCCTCCATTATTCAGTCACGATTCAGTCATTTAGACTTCTCAGGATTAATGAAGGATCCTAAAATTAGGATGCCTAAGAAGCATATTTTTATGCTGACTATATTTTATCATTATTATAGTCTAAAGTTGGGTTGAATATTTTGTTGAAAAGAATTGGTTCCTACCATCACAATAATTCTCTGATTATTAATAAATCAAAGTCAAAAGTTATAGTCTTTGGAAAATGACATCATGGCTATAGAGGGCTCTTCCCTTGCTAGCCAATAGAGAAAATTAACACTTCTTCTTCATCAATGAAGTTCATTTAGAACAGAGTCCTAGGTTAATTTGCTTCTTAAATTAAAAAAATAACAAAAAAACCCCACCAACTATAGCTATCCAGCTTCCTTAGCCCTATATATTGAAGTCTGTATTGCCAAGGTTATCTGCAAGGGCTAATGTCAAACTGAAATTTGGTAGTTAAAAATAAATCACTAGTAGAAGTAAACCTGTCATTTGCACCACCATAACTGTCTGGTTTGGCACTGCCACCCAACAAGACAGACACGGAGTTCAACAGACAATTAGGACTGCAGAAGAAGTACCGGTAATTGCAACCAGCCTGCCTTCCACTGAGGACCTGTATACTGCACGAGCCAGAAAGAGGGCTATGAAAATATCCACAGACCCCTCATATCCTGGACAGAAACTGTTTGTTTTGCATGCCAAAACAACCAGGCACAAAGACATCCCACCCACCCCCCACCCCCATGATATCACTCTGCTAAACAACTAATTCCCACAACACTGTTTTATGCCCTGGATGTTATGATTATGATTGTGATAATCACTTATTGCTTGTTTGTACACTGAGAGCTTATGCATCAATCAATCAGAATAGAGCTGGAAAGGACTTTGGAGGTCTTGTAGTCCAGCTCAAGCAGGAGACCCTCAACCATTTCAGACAAATGGCTGTCCAGTCTCTTCTTAAAAACCTCCAGTGATGAAGCACTCCCATGCTGGCTACCAGTTATAACTTTGTTTCTAGAAGTTCACAGATCTGTTTTTGATTATTTTTTCCAGTATCTTCCCAGGTATTGATGTTAGGCTGATTGATCTGTAGTTTCCTGGGCCTGTTTTTTTTTTTCCCTTTCCCTTTTTGGAAGATGGAACTTACATCAGCCCTTTTCCAAACCTCTGGTAGTTCCCCGGTGCTCAAATATTTTTGAAAGATATGATACAATGGTTCTGATATAACATCTGCCATATCCTTCTGAATTCTGGGGTGTAATCCATCAGGTCCCAATGATATATATTCATTAAGATCAGAAAGATGTTCTCTGACCATTTTCTTGCTTAATTTTAATTTTTATTTCTAGTCTGTTTACTGTTACAGTTATGCTTTTGGTAGGTTGGGTTATATCTCTGCTTTCTCTCTACTGCCTGTTACTTCCTTGTCATCTTCTCTCTTTAGTGGACCGACTGTTTCCTTTTTTCTTGTTATTTATATGTTGAAAGAAACTTTTTTTAAATATTATCTTTGACTTTTTTGCTAGTCTTTGTTTCTTCTGTTCATTCATGCACCAGAAACAAATTCCTTGTGTGTGTCCAATCACACTTGGCCAATGAAGAATTCTATTCTATACTTTTCTATTCTAGAACAAACCCGATCACAGCAGCTTAGTAGTATCTTGGATAAAAGGATTTCAGCTTCTGCCCTTAGAGCTGAATTGGGACTTTATAATTTCTTTCTTTAAAATTAGGGCTTATTACTGATCTCAAAGCTATGGAAATTTGGACATTTAGAATAAACAAAATTTCAATTAAAGACCACTTTGATTACACATCTGACAAATTATATTAGAAGCTGTGGTTTCCCTGACTCTTGCAAACAGAGAGAAAAAGCTAGAAAGGTTGCTGCACAAAGGATACACACAGGATATCAAAGCGGAGGAAGTTGTAGCCATCCTCAGTAAGTTTGGAACATTGAAATGGATGAGCAGCTACAAACAGACCTTCCAAATTGCCAAGTATTGAAATTATTTGAGCAAGATTTCAGCAACTGGATACAATGGTTAAATATTGAAGTTTTAACCATGTTTCTTATAATGAACAGACTTTTATTTGCAGAGGACCAGAGACAGAAGAAATAACACATCTTCACTGCTTTTTCAGATCAGTGATGGAATTCCTTCAGAGGCTCTGAGTGATAAAAAGAAATTCCCCTTTTTCCATCGGATGCTCCCCAAAGAAGGGATCCAGTACCCAGCAATTGTCCAACTGCTCCTCCATTTCAGATGGACCTTCATTGGCCTCTTTGCTTCAGACACAGAGAAGGGAGAGGATTTCATGAGGACTTTCACTCCTATGCTTGTCAGGAATGGAATTTGTGTTGTTATATCACAACGATTCTCAACAACTGGATATACAGCAGCCCTCAGGGAGGCCCTCTCTAAGTGGAGACAAGTCAACGTCTTTGTTCACTTTATAGAATATGTTTCCATTTGGGACAGAATCCTTCCTTTCCATTTAACACTTATGCATTTGCCAGAACCCATTGAGGGGAAAGTCTGGATCCTCTCAGCCTTGGGTACTATGATAAAGAGAAGGCACAGACTTCATAAATATCTCCATAGTATTTGGATGTTTGATTTTCAGAGGGAAAAAAGGCCTCAGGATGATACCTTTGAACCCAGTTTCCTTTTCAAACACCCATTTCAAGATCATTATTTCCGCTGTTCTCTTTCAAATAACTTCTTTTCTGTCAAAGGCCGCAGAAGATGCACCCAGGAAGCCCCACTGGAGACCCAGGAGAAAAGCAACAGGATGCAGATTCCAGATTCCCACCCTTTGTACAGTATCATGAAGAGAGCCTGGGACAGAATTAACAGTGTTGTTCAGACTCTGGCCCAGGCCTTGAATGCTGCCTATTCCTCCAGATCAAGGGGCAGAAGCAAGGGGATCAAAGGGAGGCTGGGGATCCGGAGGCTGCAGCCGTGGCAGGTAAGCGGTACCAAGAAGGATCCATCAAACACAGTTAGAAAGTGTCCAGAGAAGATGGTGAGGAACTTTCTGAATCTTTTTGAGGTACAAAAGGACAAGGATTTTAGCCAATTTAATCACTCGCGGGATAACGTTCCAAAGAAAGGGCCCCAGGATGGATTTCCTTGTGTATTAAACAGCCAATTTTAAAACCGTGTATACATTTTTTAAAAAAATGTATACATGGTTTGGAATTAGTATCACAAGATTTTACATTTAAAACATTGAAGGAGACCCTGAGACCACCTAGCCCAACCCCTCCTCTCTGCAGGAATCCCAGTTAAAGCTTCTCTGACTGATGATTGCTCGGTCTTTGCATTCAGACTGGAGCAGATGATGAAGCTAAGCCCAAGAATGGGGTTACATGCATCATCAGTGTTGAGTCCTTAGGTCCCCACAAGAGTCCCAAGGCCAACCCCCCGTGAATTCCATTGACTTTTATCTAGCATCAATTTGGGTTGACCATTATTAGATCAAGCTAATAGGAAGCCTGTAGGAAACTTTCAGAACATTGAACAATTCCTGCTTTTGGTTCTTATGCCTGGCAAAGACAAATAGCAAAGGGGAAACTGAATTTAAAGGTGGTGCTCCATGGCTTAGGACCTGGGTATATACGAGATCGCCTTCTGCCACTGATAGCCTCCCATGGCCAATACGCTCCCACAGAGAGGGACTCCTCAGGGTGCCGTCGGCCAAACAATGTCGACTGGCGACACCCAGAGGGAGAGCTTTCTCTGTGGGGGCACCCGCCCTCTGGAATGAATTTAAGGGCCGTGCCCTTAAGACTCTTTTGTTCCAACAGGCCGGGCTGGCTTAGAAAAGGAATTTTAAATTGGGTTTTTGTTAGCTTTTAACATAAGGGCCAAATTTATATATTTATTTTAAATTGTTTTTTAAAGTTTGTGAGTATACGTTTGTTTTAATATGGCTGTACACCACCCTGAGTCCTTCGGGAGAAGGGCGGTATAGAAGTTTAATAAATAAATAAATAAATAAATAAATAAATAAATAAATAAATAAATAATTTTCTCTGCTTTACTTAATTTCCTGTCTTGGAACTGAGTTCATGTTTCCATGTCTGATATTCTGGAGTAACAATAAATAGATGTTACGCTTGTGTGTAACATCTTTCAGTTATTGGAAGAAGGCTGCATCCTCCCTTCTCCAGATAAGAGATTGCCCCAGTATCAGTGGTGGGATTCAAATTGTTTTACTACTGGTTCTGTGGGCGTGGCTTGGTGGGCGTGGCTTGGTGGGCATGGCAGGGGAAGGTTACTGCAAAATCCCCATTTTCTCCTGATCAGCTGGGATTTGGGAGGCAGAGAATAGATGGGGGCAGGGCCAGCCATTGGTGGTATTTGCTGGTTCTCCAAACTACTCAAAATTTCTGCTACTGGTTCTCCAGAACCTGTCAAAACCTGCTGGATTGGTTCTGCAACCCAACAAGACAGAGACAGACTTCAGAGGATAATTAGAACTGCAGAAAAAAACCATGACTACCAACCTGCCTTCCATTGAGGACCTACTGTATATACTGCATGAGTCAAAAAGAGGGCTGTGAAAATATTTACAGACCCCTCGCATCCTGGACATAAATTGTTTCAACTTCTACCCTCAAAACGATGCTATAGAGCACTGCACACCAGAACAACTAGGCACAAAGACAGTTTTTTCCCAAACGCCATCACTCTGCTAAACAAATAATTCCCTCAATATTGTCAATTAGTTACTAAGTCTGCATTACTATTAATCTTCTCATCGTTCCCACCACCCATCTCCTCCCACTTATGACTGTATGACTGTAACTTTGTTGCTGGTATCCTTAAGATTTATATTGACTGTTTTCTAATAGGATTTGATTGCTTATTTGTTCCTAATGACTATCATTAAGTGTTGCACCTTATGATTCTTGATGAATGTATCTTTTCTTTTATGTACACTGAGAGCATTTGCACCAAGACAAATTCCTTGTGTGTCCAATCACATTTGGCCAATAAAAAAAATTCTATTCTATTCTATACCACCTAGTATGCCTAGTATGCCTGTTTTTTAAAAGAAGTTAATGAATAATTTCTTCCTTTTTTTAAAAAAAATTTGTGATCTATTCTAAAATATTCCATTTAATAGGCACATTTGTTCAATTATGTTTTGCAAATATATTTTTTTCAATATGTGATTGACACATTTTTTGAGCCATTTTCACTTTGGAAGAGAGTGGCCACCCTTTAGTTCTCCACTCACAATATTTGCAAGTTAGAGAAGAAAGAGTCAAATGTGGAAAGACCCTACGGGATAAAAACCCACCTGCCCATTTCTATTCTAGCTAAATCCCTTTTTGGAGAAGAATGAGTTTGGCAACATTTCCAAGAGGAAACTGTATTGGGACCAAAATGGAGACATAGCAGCAGATCTGAACATCATGAGCATCTTGGTTTTCCCCCACATGGATTTCATCCCAGAGCAACTGGGAAATTTTGAAAGAGAGAGACTGGTTATCAAACAAGACGCTCTGTCACAGCTAAAGCTGCTCAACAAGGTGGGGAAAATATTGGCGGTTTTTCTGTTTTGCAAAGCTTTAGGATATAGCCATGGTGGGTGAATTCAATGTGGCGAGTTGAACCCTTGCAGTTTCTTAGACTGCTTGGGAGGCTTCAGGGCTCTTGGCCAAGGTCTTCTTAAAATGTTATAATGTGGAACAGTCTTTTCAACTGATTCAGTAGAGTCCAACATTTTTGTTTGTTTGCTTGCCTTCTTGCTTGTTTAATTTATATGCTGCCCATTTCACTTTACAAGGCCACATAGGATGCAAAATGAAGAATCTTAGACAACAGATCAGGATGTTTTCTGTCCCCTCTGCCATCTGGTACCTCCCTAGACCTGGTGACAGAGGCTGTCAAGTGCTGGGTTTTGTGGTGCTGATAGCCTCAGCCTGCTTTGTTCCTTGTCCCAAATCACTGGGGTTATTTTGATGTTGGATATTTTAATGAAAGGAATTAGAGAAACTGGACACCTGTGGTTGGGGAGCTGCCTTATGGTGTTGGCACAGGCTGCAGCCAGTGGTGGGATTCAAGTAATTTAACAACCGGTTCTCTGCCCTAATGATTTCTTCCAACAACCAGTTTGCCAAACTGCTCAGAAAGTTAACAACCGGTTCTCCCAAAGTGGTGCGAACTGGCTGAATCCCACCATTGGCTGCAGCCCTTAAAGAACTCCTCTTCAAATGGGAGAGCCAGAAACCTCTTTCTCTAGAAACAAATCCTGTGTGTAGACAGGACTTCACCTGATCTACACATTCCCTATACAGGCTCCAATTATATCTGCCTCTTCCCAAAAACAGCCACCTTAGTTTTGGACAGTGATATTCAGGACGTTGAATGCACAGGAAGTACTAAACCTGTGACTTGATAGTTATCTACCATGAGCTCTCTGGGCGAAAAGGAGGCTCCAAATTTAAGTAACAATGAAAGTGGGACTGTCTTTCCATGGACTCACCTAATTGTAGTTCTACATGCTGCAAAAGTTTCCTGACCAGCCCTGTTTGAGGGACACATTCTCATGACCTCACCTCCCTCCAGTTCTAGAAACTAGACAGTCACTTTTAATCTCATTTCATCCATGACAGCTGTATGAATTGAAGAAATAAATATATAAATAAACAAGGAACATCTCCCTTAAAGGTTACAACTGTAATTTCTAAGGAATTTTGCCTTTTTATTTAAACTGAGACTGTTTTGGACTATATTCAAAGGGGGGGGCAGGTTTGTAATCTTTTATTTAGTCCAGAAGAAACCTTTGCAGATCCTACTGGTCAAGGGTTTCTTTCTTCATAACGGTTGTATAACATTAAAAAAAATAGAATAAAAATGTAATGAAATCCTTGGAATACATGTTATTCTAAAATTTAAATTGAATAGTTTATCATCCTTAAAAATCACATATATGAAGAATGGAGGAATGGATATTAATACAGCCATGAGGAGGAATCCACCGGTTGTCACTTAAGGCTTCAATCTTTTCTCAATTCTCTTCCTCCAGACTTTATTAAGTAAAAAAAGAAGTGTTGGTAGTTATATCTTTTGTAATCTTTCAGCACAAATTAGAGATTTCATATTTTGCAATAGTGGTTATTTCATCTTTCCCTAAGTCCCATCTCATCTCGTCTTGTGTCAGAAATGCAGGAACTCAAAAAGGGGGAAATTGTAAATTCAAATTTAAAAAGATTAAAAACTTTTTTATACATCTAGCCCAGTGCCAGGCTGTGTGGATGGCAAGGATATTTCTAAGCAGCGGTCCCAGGGGGCCCTCTAAAAGATGGGGCATTGTTTGAATGGTGCCACATTTGCAGTAAATGTCCTTGTCCTCGGGGAGGGACCCCCATTTTAACATGTGGCCTTTAGTTCTAGCCAAACCTGTATGCAGTCTATTTAAACACCTTCAAACCATCAAAGTTCCTTCTCCAAGCCTCTAGGCAACTCCTCAAGCAGTTCTATCCAATTATGAAGGTCTTTGAAGTTCCCATCTTTTTAATTGCTTACCTTAGTGAAGCCCAGAGACTACTTGGTTAATGTCCATTTCTACCCCATTTTCCATGGATGGAGAGTTCTAACATTCTTTGGCATTCCTTGTTTTTCTGCTCAGTCCCTGCCTCAGTCCAAATGTGTGGAAAGTTGCCATCCTGGATTTGTCAAGAGGGCTCAAGAAGGAGAGCCAGTTTGCTGCTACGACTGCATTCCTTGTCCAGAGGGGACCTTCTCCACTCAGGAAGGTGGGTCACACTGAGGAAAACGGAAGGCCTTGTGGAACTGGATCCATCCACAGCATTTTCATGGAAGTACAAATGTTAAAAGATACATTGAAGATTTTCTTGCTTATTTTCAAAATGCACAGTTTCTTATCTAAAGGGATGAGTAGAAAAAGGACCTTGAAGTGGGGGCTGAGAAGTGATAGGAGGAATGGCAGATTCCTGCCCTCTTGACTTTTCAAGAAACGTCAGAGTTTTTTGAAACTTGAGGGATTGTTTTAGGTGCACCTCCCGGAAGGAGGTGTTCTACATGGGCCTCCCCTTCAGAATCACTGAGGAATCACTGGTCCTCAGTGAGGTGCTGTGGATAGTCCTGAGTCTAGCTCATTGCACATATAGTAACAGTGATTCTAGTAGCCATTCTAGATTACTTGCAGGACTTGGCCAGACGGCTGGATTTCAAAAGATAGGCATCGTCTTGGTCCAATATTCATTTTTTATTTATGTACTTACTTTATTTATATCCTGCCTTTATTATGCTTACAGAAGTGCCCTCTGTCAGGGCTCAGGAAGTTTACGTGGAAAGGTTAACAGAGTCATTATTTACCTCTAATAATGCAGGCTTTTATGAAGGTTCAGCATATTACACAGGAAATCTTTCAAGTCCCACCACTGCTTAATACC